CCTGCTAATGTAGGAGCACTTATTCAAGTGTGAAAAGAGTACACTTGGTCTATCAATGATCAGTCCAACTGCTGTCAGCTGAGGAAAGGACTCAGCCTTTCTACATAGGGTGCCCCATCCAAGTCTGTTAAAGAAGGTTATTCCACAACAGGAAGACCTTTTTTCAATTAGGTTGAAAACAGAGTGCACATGTGGGCATTGGGCCAAAATGTGCTGAAAAAGATCAGCTTTGGATATTGGTAAAAATCCAACAACGTGTAGGGAAGTGGTAATGTGGAAGGAGATCAGACTTGGATGAAAGGGCACACAACTGAATGCAGGAGTGTATTAAAGGGTAGCGTGTAAGCTATGGCTACAATTTACAACAGTGGCGTCTCTGAAGGGAAGCAGCCAGGACCACAGGCAATCGCTCACCAAGTGCAAGTAACGTTGACGCGTCACTATCCCATGTGACAGAATCAACTCAAGAGTGCAACATTCATACACAAACTGAGCCACGAAGGATCAAATGCCTTATTCAGCTCAATATTTAAAATGGAGGCTAGGTGGACTGAATGGAGTCTGCTGCCTTTGACACAGTAATTCATCATTTTAATACAGGATCATCAAATAAGTTGAATGTAATAAAGGTTGGAGGTTAAATTGAAAACGGATCAATAGATTGAGACAGCCCCACCTTGCTTAGTAGAGGAGCATTAATCTAGTTAGATTGGCATCACCGGTGCCTGTTTAATGTGTACTCGGGGCAGAGTAGACTAGAGACTATGCTACAAGGCTAGCCTAAGCTGAGAGCTAACAGGGCAGCAACAGAGGCGAAGATCAATGCCACGATTGGTGCCACGAAGTGTGTGTATCTGAACTCAATTCTCCATTTGGTGAATACTGAAACAGTGTTCCCAGGTAGTGTTGAAAGAAGTGAAACTAGAGTAGAAATCTAACTGTCCCAACATTTATTTCCCCTTCAACAAGAAAAACTGGATTTCCAGACTGTAGTGCTCCAGTGCAGTCGTACTGAGGTAGCGGCGGCTCCGGCTCTTAAAATAACACTGTGTGACCTTGACGCTCCCTCGGCGCTCCCTCTAGTCTGGACTGTGTGTCTGTCCAGGTGGGGAAATGGAGCACACAGCGCTGATAGCAGCCCAGGATAGGTGCACATCCAACTGAATGAGAGGTCAACTACTTTTCATTAAAAAAAAGGTTTCTGTAAGACTGTAGCGGTGTTTGCCAAAATAAGATATCAATATAAAAAAAAACGTTCAGTTATTTCCACCAGAATTCTACATTTCTTGTGTGGATGGAAAGTGTGTAAAAACAGCTTTTCGCCACTGAAATGCCACTATGAAGGAAACTGTTAAAGTGGGTCAGCAGCTGCTTTAGGGAGAGAAACAACTCCCACTGATAGGATTTGAACCTGAAGAGCTTCCGGCCTTTAACTGAAGCAGCAACACATGACTGAAGACCTGCATGAATGGAATCGTGCCAAAGGTCTACAATCTATGGTTGTGCACTAGCTACGTAGCTGTGGCCGGTTAGGACCCTCGCTCACACTGGCTTTTATCTGATATTCAGTATCAAGCTAACCGCTGCTCTCTCAGTGAAACTATAGTTTATTTCTTCAATGTGGATACATTTGTTCCTACGTTGTGAGAGAGTTGGATGTTTTGCCAGTGTGGACAGCTAGTTTTGGATTCATCCTACGTTCTGACATGCAAAGAAAACTAATCTCTTGGACATTCAGCTTTGTGGTTTGTGGTGATTTTGAGACTGGGTCTGTAGTAAGTTTACAGCACCACCCCTCACTTCAACGGCATTTCTGAAATCATTTGACATACGACAACATTTCTTTTTGGCCTATTGTGTGCTGTGTGTTAGACACACTGTAACTCAGAACAGTGTGTGACAATCGGGTCCAGAGTTTGTGAAAAGGACTCAACTAGGCTGAGAATTAACTTCGGTTCGGTTTTCGTGATAGGCAACTAGAAAGCATGAATCCATCACGTATTTTAACTGAGAATGGGCCGATGGCGATCAATGTGGGCATCCTTAGATGCAAAAAAGTGAAGCTGGACAAATGCTGAACAGGAAAGGTCCTTGAAAGTATTTTCTTTTTTCCACTAATTTGACAGCGCGGGAGGAGGTGAACACACAGCCAACAGTGCCAACAGCCTGCACACTTCCATTCAACCAAGACTAGGCCAGCTGTACCTCCACCACAGTCAGCTACAGAACAGAGAGTGCGTTGACCTTTCATCCACATTACCATTTCAATCAGCACAATCAAAGCATAATGGATCACAGCGAACCTACCTGCATTCTAATCACAACAAATGGAGCACATCAACCCAGCTTCCAAATAATCACTGACAGACAGACAGACCATAGGGAGAGGGACACAAAACCTTCCTTCAAGTACTCTCACAGCTCAGGAAGAGCTCATACTCACTCATGTTCCCTTCTGACCTGTGAGATCCAGCCAACTGTTGGCTTGCATCAGTAACCAACAGTGCGACAGCCAACGACTGCCTGCTGCTGCACTAATGCTGGGGGTTTCTTACCATTTTTATAGTTTAGTTGAACAATTGCTCCCAGGAAACAACACTCTTTGCACAGGGTGCCATCGTCACAACACAACAAAGATCAATCAGACCGCAGTCAGTGGTTACCAGAGACATGACGCTGGAGCTACACTGGGAATTACAGGGACAAACCAGTTGAAATATGGAGTCAAAGAGGGCCTGAAAGGTCTCATTTCTCCTGCATTTGTCTGCAAGTATAATGTAATGGTTTGTACAATGGTTGTCTCCTGGAAATCTGAGCAAAACAAAACCACTTTCTGCCTAGCTATGACATCACTTTGGACAATGTTAAAGTCTGTTGTCCACACAGCACACTTCCCTAGACTCCATGGTAACAAACACGGACAGAATCCAGGAGGTTTGGCTTTAATGTGAGGAAGGAAGGAAGTTCATTCTTAACACATTGTAGAGACAGGAGCATAAAGCAACTGCAACTGTTAGTGTCAGCAGCCATATTCTCCTGATCAAATGAGCCTGTTCATTAAGAATCCAAACACACAAGAACAACCAAACAGAACAAGACATTTCCTGGGAGAAGAGGAACAGCATACAACTTGTTCACTTCTGCTTTTCACACTAGAAGAAATGCATGCAGTGGGTTGGGCTCAGATGTGCTCTGGGAATTCAATGAAAGGTTTAAAAATCATGGCCAAACTAAATGTGACATTAAAGTACAGTTTCCCCACTGTTAATGGAAGCTGGGCCTTGGCCAGCACCCTGTTGTCAGTCATCTAGGTGTTTGAGACACTTGTGTGGTGTGTCCTGAAATTTGGAGCAGTTTGCTGTGGTGCCACAAACAGTGGCAACCACTGCTTTACTGACAGAATGACCAATCAGAAAGAGAACAGGTGAGGTTGAACACAAATGACTGAAAAAGACTCCTCTATTGCTCACAAACATCTACCAAATATATTGTCTTACTCAAATTATAGAATCCTTTTCTTATTATCATTTCTGAGGTAGAGCTGGCCCTCTGCTGTGTGTCATCCCCTCTCTCTCTCTCTCTCTACCCCCCCTTTCCTGTATATCTTCAGCAGTCCCTATCAAATAAAGGCAATACAAAGGCCAAAAAAATAACTTTTATAAAATAATAAATAAACTACAAAACTGAAAATAAAAGCGTAAACTCTGAACTGCCTTGGGGAAGATTAAACTACTGTCTTTCCAAAGCCAGTCAGATACCGGTTACAAAAAACCTGTTTTCCTTTAAAACCAATTGTGGAATGACACAGGTAAGGCCACCAATTCAAGGCCCTGGCAAAAGTTCTGTTAGAGAACACAATTCAATATTTGGCTAATTAAAGCTTGTAGTAAAAGGGTTCACAACACTGGAGACTGCGCAGGGGGAGATAATGAAAATGTTTGGAACAGATTAGAGACAACAGATCAATTGCTGCATTGTCACATTATACCCGGGCAAAAGCTTACATCAACTTTGGCACATTACAGTTTCTTTCAAATCTTCCTGAAAGCCAGTTAGTGGTGTCTATAAGACATGTCTAATGTTTTGTCCACTCCATTTACACACAAGGGGGATGAATGTAACCACGTCTCAATAAAATGCAGTCCAGCCTCATACAACACCACCACATAGAAACCCAAAGAACCAAATGTTAGTTGAGCTTCCACAGCATTTGGCACTTTAATCTATTAGAAAAGACAGACGTACACACGCCCGTCATCATCATGAGTTGTTACATGAAGGGAACAGTGAACATCAACAGTAAAAGTGCTGACTCATCACAGCCTGACCTGCTGCTCACTGCTGACGTACATTTAATGCTGACTGAGCTACACAGAGATCATATGAAGAGAACCTCACCCACTGACTGCTCACTCTTTGGATCAAAAGCACACCAGACCTAACTTTAACAAATGTCTTTTTCCATTTAACTAAAGAAGCCACTTGTCAAATGGTAACTCATCTCTAAACACAAGCAGCCATACGAGAACTTTACTTCAATAGAATCAAAAATGGTGCTTTAATTCTAATGAGAAGACTGAGTAAACAAGAAGTGTGACAGTCAGTGCCAGCGTTCACAACAGACTGATGCTCTCCATGACCAGATGCAAATGAGTCTGAACCCTCTCAGTTCATATTTCCAATGGGGAAATATCAACGGCCACATACCCAAAATGTGTCTGGTTCCCAGGTGAGGACAGACTTTCAGGGATCCTGAAACACTAAACAACAACACTCAAAATATGGAAAATGGAATCACCTGTTGATGTTTAGTTTCAGACAGTGTGTTTGCAAGGTCAAGCTCATCGACTACAAACCGTGTACTTCACATTTAACCTATGCTGTACAGTTGTACATTTCTGGATGTATTATTCATCCTCAGGCACTTTCCACACAGTACAAGTAAATCATTGAGCCAGCACTTGAAAGTTGAATTTTTTCATACTTTAAGTGACATTATTGTTGGCTGATAATGCAGAATAAGTTGATGATGAAAAACACTCAGCAGCATTTCCTGGGGGACAGCCGGTACTGAAATGAATAGAAACCAACAGATAGAGTAAAGTAAATGAGAGATGTAGAAACATGCAAAGCCAGTGTAACCAAGAGCCAAAGTTGAAGGGAATGATGTATTGTGGGGTTGTGTTTCTTTAAGGGTGGAATCTCTTGGGTCACTACTCCAGTGTCCGTACAGAAACACATTGACGTGCTGCCTGGAAAAGTGCACACCCTGCACTTTGATCTAATCGGCACAATAACACACTTCAATAGCAACCCAAGTCTCCAGTCTGAAGTCTCCAAACTGTACGGCGCTGCCACATTATTTGCACTGAGGAAGCCGTCACCATGGTATCTTGTCAGAAAGGTATGGAAAATGCCACTGCTTCTTCAAAATCCTTCTGTGGGCCTTTTTTGTTGTCACTTGGAATAAATCATTGCAAGATTAGCTCTTGATGACTAAATAAGAACACAGCTGAGGATTTTGGAGAGCTCGAGGCAGCAACAGTGCTCCTGTGGCTGCAGGGTAGCGTTTGGAAAGACCTCAGAACGGGAACGCAAAACGCTTTGATGAATCCAGTACCACAAAGAAACAGGTCTGTGAACTTTAAGGGGAAATGTTTATTTCCCAGGGTATGGCAAGCCCATGCTGATTACTTGTTGAATCATTCACTATCAAATATTACAAAATATTTCAAATACTACATTTTCCTCATTATAACTTCCCACTTTATCAGTCTTTTTCCTGACAGTGGCTCGAGGACACGTTCTTAAATCGCCGTTATCCATGCAAACGTGTGGATTGTTTTAAATGTGATGAGGTCTACATTACTCTAAAGAGCCAGTTACTTTGACACAGCTATTAACCGAAGCCACGGCTTTCAAATGACAGATATTTCACGTGATAATCATTGAGCTGCTGGAAGTCCCCGTGGCTTCTAAAGCGCAGATTCAACAGGCGTGGAGCGGCAACGAACCATCCCAAAATAGATCATTGTGGGCCATACAAATGCTGTCACACTGGAGGTCATGGCAATGCAATTTTCCCCAGTAACAGAAGTGGTTGCAGTGTCCTCCTCCTCCTCCTCCTCCTCCTCCTCTCCACCACCCCGCCCACATCAAGAACCCAGCACCCCCCCTCATACAGCTGAGGATCTGGGTCTAGCGCATGGTATCACAGTAACAGTGGAGGAAAATACATCCATTTTAATCAGGCCAGCGTTGCCGCCGCCGCCGCCGCTCTTGCAGCCATCTAATTTGCGTGACGTCTTGTTCAAATAGGCTCACACAATCTTAATCTGTGTGTGCGTGCATGTGCATGTGGGTTAGGTTTAGAGCTGACAATGAGAAGGAGGTGGCGCTGGGTGTATGTATGCAGTGTGCAGAGTGTGTGCACATTATAAGCACTAGTTTTTATTCACCGTTTCCCCCAAAGGCCATTTTCCACGGTAGGTAGTGTGCAGCCAAACGCAGCTCACCCAGCCTCTCTGAGCCCTTCATAATTTAGCCTACGTGCAAACTGGTGCTGAAATGATTGGTAACTGCATTAGTAAAATGATGCCAAAGTTATGGAAATATTGTATGTACCTGGGGCAATGTCAGCAACAAGCCCTGACCCAGGACTGCTGTACTCCACACCACTGTGCTCCGCTGATATCTCCAGGAACTCAGACATTTCAGACACACAGCAGCCCATAAAAAAAGAGTATGGGTAATAATAAACTCACTGAACTGTTGCCAATTTTAGCAAGCTATAAAAAAAAAAAAAAAATTTAAAAAAAAGGGGTGGGAAAAAGCTATGTTAGGTGAGTGCAAAGTAATTCAAATCATGATTTAACCTGAACAAGAAAGGCCCCTTCAATTTACAGCCAGTACCTTTTCACTTCATGTCAGAGTCCGGGTTGGCAACATGACTGACTGACACTTCTATAGAAAGGCACAACTACAAGCCATCATTTAGTCTATTAAATGTTACAAATGTGGGGCGCAGTGTAGCTCACCATGTCGGCTGGTGGTGTCTTAAATAACAGTCCAGACCCCAAACACATGAAATAAACCAGAGGAACATCAGCAAATCACACCTGAGAAGCTGGAAATAACATTTTGTTTAGATCAATCTATTATCAGTGTAGCTGCTTACAGTTCAGTCATTTGACTAATCCAGAGAAACTGTTTGTTGTTTATGTTGTTGGTTGGACACAATGAACAGTGTGAAGATGAGCTCTGGGAACATTTCCCAAGACGTTATTGACCCAATAGTGATTGATAAAACACAACTCATTATCACAGCATGGGAATGAGGAGTGCTCTGCCAGTAGCACCAGTTGGTAATAAACTCAACCCTGGCCTCTGCGCTCACCATCAGGCCGTCATTGGATCCACCTGCGCTCGGTAATTGTCCGCGGTCACTCCTCTCGCAGCTGCCGGTACTCTACCGGGACTGCGGTGCATCTTACCGCCCCCTGTTGCCTGCACTATCGCTCCACTGGAAGCCCTTTTTTCCTTCTCCCTCTCTCGGCTCCCACTTCAGGAATAAATAAATAAGTTAACAACCTCGCTGGGGGTGGTGATGGCAGAGGAGAACCCCACGGTGGAAGTGAATGAGAAATCAGGACATGAATAGACGCCGACACAGCACAAGAAGCAGGGGTTTATTGGTAGGGCTGCGTGTTTTCAGGGTGAAATTAATTGACCGCAGGGCTAATTAGCCATGAATGAGCAGCGACAGTTGCTGTACAGCAGGCAACACAAACTAAGCGGGCCTCTCCATCCGCCCCCCTTTCCCTTTCATTTCCACAAACAGACACTGAGCTAAAAACACCCAATGACCAATTTAAAAAGACGAACACGCTCCTCATAAATACATTCAAAGCACACACAAAGCAGAAAACGTCTCCTTTTAGCCCTCAAGAGACGCCATTTAAAGGGTTCCTTAGCTAGGAAGGAGCGCAGGGTTGATTAGCTCAAGGTGTAGCCGAACACGGTCATTCCTTCAAGGAGCAGCCAAGACAGGTGTAACGTTACAGCTGGGTAATGTTAGCTAACCTCACCGTACACAGTGCGCGTTTCCCAGCGCAGCGATTCCCAACACTCACACAGACACACATACACACACACACACACGGACTCAAGCTTACCGTGGACGTTACTGCAGTGCTGGAGACATATTAGCATCGGCAGCAGGAGGATCCCCGGTGTGGACGTCACCATCTCTGGCAGTGGACGGTTGCTAGCTGAGCGCTCGCGGGCTGCCTCTCTGCCCTGCCTGCGTTTGTCGCTGGCTCGCGCCGGCCTGCTCGCTCTTTGATTTTGCCGGTTCACGCGCAAACCACACATACACACAACAAACACGAGCGCTCACTCACACACACACACGGACACACACAGGACGGAGCTGAGCTGAACTGAACGGCCGCTCCTGCCGACGCCACCGACCGACCGACCGACCGACCAGCAGCAGCAGCAGCACGCGCTGCAGAGGATACAGTGAGAATAAAACGGAGTGCACGCCACGCGCCTTTTGATCTCGCTCTACAACCACGCGCCGTGGGAGCCGTTCTCTCCTCTCGAGCTGAAATCCATTTCCTAAAATTGACTGTAACGAGCGGCCCCGGTGCCCGGTTTGTTAGTGGTGCTACACTGAGACCGTCACAGCTGAGAAGGATTTTTTTTTCCTCCTTCAGCACGTCTTTGGTACATTGTTAACCCTTCACCGTCCGCACGGAAATATAAAGTAGATTCTGTTCAAACACAGACAGAACATCTAAACAACAATAGCTGTAATTACCATTAATGACATTGTTAAGCAATTATATATATATTTGTGATAGATAGATAGACAGATAGATAAACTTTTACTGGATTGGAAAACAGTTTATCAGTGATCAGAACCGTCATTGATCAACTTTCTGTTAACTTATGGATTACTCAGGGTCAGTTTCACTGTTCCTATAAAGCAGAGTTGTGATCGGGCCCAAAAATCAGTCCCGACCCGACCCTGGCAGAACTCTGTGCCAGCCCGACCCACTGAAGCAGGTTAGGGCCCGAGCCCGACCCGAACCCGAATTTGCAATTAAAATAAATAAATAATTTACAAGCTGAAGTAACCTACATTGTGCACATTATTATTATTATTATTATTATTATTATCCAAACTAATAAAGCCCAACCCGGCTCTTCACCTTCAGCCACAAACATGGAGTTAATCAGTGCAATTACTTGGTTTGTGGATGGAAATCTGTAAACTTTCACCAACAGTGAGTTCACACTACAGCTCCACTGGGACAAAAATAGTTTAGCATAAACTACTTTTTAATGACTGGTTTCTTTCTAAACTGAAATATTCAGAATTTAAAACTGAACATAGAAGCACTTCAAAGTGAGTCTGTGTTTGCATGGGTGCTGGAAGTAAAGTCTGGCATAATGAAAACCATTAGTTCAATAAAAGCTTTAAACTGACTTTACATGTGTACTGGTATTTGTGGCAGGAAAGACGGTGTAAAAATGTTGTTAATAACTATTAAATAGGCTGCAAGTGATCCTGGCCGTTCAATTTAATGCAAAAGCCTTCTTCTCAGCACCCCCAACTTCACTGACTTCCAGTGACCTGTATGACAGTGGCCACTGTGACCACCAGTGGTCATTACAGGATAATGGCAAATTCATTTTCCATTCATTTCCCAAGATTCTCAGACTGTCAAACGAGGTACGTACTCAGTTGTTTGCATTTGGGAGAGCAGTCTTTATCTAGTCTTATTATGTCACATTTACCTGAAGCTCATTGTTTAATATGTCAGAATGATTGGAAATGAAATGTGTCCTGGCAACTACCTACCACTTCAGAAGCAACATATGTTTAGTTTTGCTTTTAATGCCGATCATTTTGTAAGAGCCGATGTCTCATGTTTCAAAGAGTGAATCCCAAATCTTGGAACCAAACTCAGCTCTTACATTTTCTTCCCTCTCTCTGTCTGATGCCATTTCTCCCCATTTTGATCACCAGGTCTTTGGGGTTTCCAGAGGGCTGCGTGCTGCCAGGTTTCATAGGCTCTCAGAGTTCTTATCAGAGGATTGAACCTCATCTTCAGTGATGGCTGATGGCTGCTGATACACCCCAAGGCTCATTCTGTCCCAGATTTTTACATTCCCTGGAAGAAACACCACACACACACAAACACACACACACACACACAAACCACTGTACAATTCTGTATGAGGAAGTGTCTCTGTCTCTCTCTCAGACTGTCAGTGTCTCTTTCTTGCGGTCACTTCCAAACGCACACTAACAAACACACACCGATTGCCGATCTAACAGCTGGAAATCCAGTCTCTTATGAAATACAACTGTGGAAAATCATTATTTGCAGGCTCACGAGCAGGGATAATCAGCCCTGTGACTGGTGGAGAGAATTAGAGCTTTAAAGAAACAGTATTAATTTCCCAAGGCAAAAAATGGTCACAGTGTATTTGCAAGGGCAATGCATCAGTACAGTAAAACATTATTGATTATGTTAAGAACAAAATCAGCTCTGCCTTGGTGAGTGTGTGTTGCTACAGGTAACTAGGAGACAATGGAATCCAGGCCAGGAAGTCCAGTTTCACCAACAGATCCATGAGTTGGCAGTGGCGGCACTAAGGGGTGGCCAGGGGGGGCCACAGCAACCCTGATACAATCGCTGCCCCTCACCCATGAGTCGAATATGCATAACATGCTTCTGAGTAATGATGCTTCTATCTGATGTTTTACACTGTTCATTTAAAGCAATTATTTATATTTTTCATAATAGTTAATGTGAAAGAAAATAACAAATGGAGAGCCAGCCAGCAGCTTTTGAGCATCCGTCACTGCACGACACTCCAACCTCCCCATCCCCCTGGCTTTTACTTCTGCTGTGGCCACCCCCATGAAACAGTTCTGGGAGCTCCACTGTGTGTTGGAGGGCTTATCTGGCACCAAAACACTGCAACGTTTTTTTTAATAATAGCGGCAATCATTTTATCCTCTGTTAGGATGACTGGCAGATACAATACCATTACAAAGTAATCTACAGCGCAGTGCTCTGCTGACGATGACGCTGCAGCAAAAGCAAGGCTTAAGCCGCTGCACCAACTCGGTGGAGTCCATAAAAGTAATGAGAGGATTTTCCTTTCTTCTTTTTTTTTTGCAGTGCTAATGTTGTTCTAAACATATCCTGGACTGGTGTTCAAATGGGTTAGCTGTTTCCCCCTGCTTCCACTCTTTACGCCAATCGCCTGCCGGCTCTAGCTTCATATTTAGTCAACCTTTAAAGAAACATTCCCAGGATTCCCAAGAAAAGTTTCTTTCTTGTAGTTTGAAGAAAACAAATATAATCAAAGCGTGTTAAGACAGTCATTGTTGTTCCCTGTGAAAATAATGAAGACAAGGATAATCAAACCATGCATTTTAATGTTTAGCTTTGTTGGGACAATATAGGGACAACAGCTGTTGGGAACTGTTGGGTGTCCGTAAATAACGTTATAAGGAGTACTGTCTAGACCTGCTCCATTTGGAAAATGTCCTGAGATAACTCCTGTTATGATTTAGTGCTATACAGATAAAACTGAATTAAACTGAAAAGCTGAACTTCATTTTATAAACCCACTTGAAACAAATTCATTCAGTGCACTCACATTTTCACTGTAAGTCGGTGAGGAATTGTTGAACTATTGAACTAGCTTAAGTTTTATCCTTTGCACTGACTTCACGTTTACAGGTGCTGCAAGTCTAAGCTTTCAACCAGCTTTCATCTCTCTCTGCCTCTCTCTCTGCC